TAATTATTGATCAGAACATAATCGAGACAAACGTTTCTGGGGTCCATTCAATCTGTGGGATAGGCTCCTCAGGTGTTGCTGAATCGATGGGCCCGGGAAGATCGACAAAATGGAGCTTGGATGGTGAACCCCATAGATGGATGAAGCACTCGGCGTCAGTCAAAGCCATTGCTTCTCCCGATGGTGCGATCTCGAACATGCTCAAGTACGTCAGGACGTTAGCTTGTCGAACATTGCTAGTGTTCGGATTCATCAAGTCCACAATATGCATCTGTCCACTTTGCGAGACAACTATGCTGGTGGTGAGCATTCTAGGGTGCATACGAACGTACGCAGCGCCTGCCGGGAAAGGGATAGGGGGCATAGAAGACATCTTTTTGATATCGAAAACGTTGAGAAAGGGGTCGAGAACAAAATTCTGCCCTTGTCTAAGAGAAAATCCACACGTCACAATAAAATCATGCTGAGCATCCATGTCGTTAATCAAGGCCGAGTGCGCATTCCAAGATTTAACGACTGAAAAGGTGACAGGATCCAGGAGGTTGACTGAGCCATTCTTGGTGGCAGCGCAGATATATCGACTCCGCCTCATTATAGTATATTGATGCTCCGTTGGAACCTGCTCAAGTTAGTAATCTCTGCCATGTCACGGTGCAGGTGACTAACCTGTTTCATGACTTCACCCTTAGTGAGGTCGATGACAAACATCTTGTCCTGGAGTCCAGCAACGAGGATTTCCGATGTCCCCTTGGATGTAAAGCTCATGCACCGAAGGTCTTTCATATCTTCATGCCTGCCACCCAAGCCACTGTCAGTTTGCCATTGAAGCATAAGCGCAAAGGAGTAATGTCTCAGAACCTTATATGCCATAATGGAGGCCCTCTCCTCTGAGCCATGTGGACATCCTTTGAGCCAAGCACGATAACACCTTTGTCATTGACCAATATTTGCCGAACTGCACCATCAACAGTCAGATGCGCCTTGAAGGATGTGTATCGTTGCAACTCGGTTCCGTAAAACGAAGAAACCCGGCCCTAGTTCAATCAGACATATTCCGTGGCGGGTTCAGTGTGGCGGTGTTGTCATACGTATTCGTTACCCGTCCAAAGAAGCTCTTGAGACGTGTCGAAAGTCATTGTTGTAACCGCCGATGGCAGTGCGTGGACGCCCGGGGGCGGGAATTGAATCCGGACGACCTGACCTCCAGAAACGCATTAGAAAAACATGTCTTGATCTCCAGGAGCTCGAAAGCGCCCTCCACCTTCGCGTGGGGGCAGACATGGAGGCATGTGAAGCTGGTCATACCTCATCCCAATCTCCGTCCATGATGAATGAATTAACATTCTCTCCAGTATCGTATAGCTGGGGGGATGGAAGCGATATGTTAAAACGATAGATTAGGTTGCGTCGCGACCATAGTGCCCCCAGCGACCCGTGACAATGTAGCAAGTCGGGATGCGGCGCGCGGAGCCAAGTTGGATGTTGGACGTTGGCAGACAACGCGAAGGAACGTTGGAGGGGCACCTTGCGAAACTGGGGTATGGACTAGGGTAGGTAGCTCTAGCAAACAGTGCTAAGTTATCGGCAGTGGGTGGGGTTCGTCGCGGCGGTTTGGTATCAGATAGTCGGGTACTTGGCATAAATACTATATTGTACCTAAAATTTATGTACCGGCTTATCCTCGCTTTCATTTTACAGGACGATCTCGCATGGCTGGTAAGTCTCACGCTTTCACAACTTCTTTCTCTTGCTCTGTCTATTTTCATGCTATCTGATATATCGTGAAACTAATAGCAGCTACTTCGATAGCAATGCCTGGAAACGGGTCAATGTCTTCTTCAAAGCTAATTTCAACCTTCCACTTTGTCTTGGTCATTTTCCCAATTTCGTCCCACAAACGCTGAAAGCTGGCTTGGCTGTGAAGATACGGGATTTCCTCTGCAGGAGAGCAGACATCCTTTATCCCCGCCTGTCTTCCATAGATCAATGCGTTCTTGGTCCCCTGTTTTAAGAATGCGACCAGGCGGCACCCGATGTAGAGCTGTTGGGTCCAATTGAAGAGGTGGAAGAAGCTATCGGCGTGGATCATGGTGACCATTCCCTGAAGTTGTAAAGGGCGCTTATCATCAGGATCAGCCATGTCCCCGATCACAAATGTAGCTTTGAATTGGCCTCTATCGTTGAATAAATCATAACCAATGTCTATGAGTCTGGGCTCGATATCGATCCCAAAGAGCTGTGAGCTGTTGACGCCATCAGCATGGAACTGCCTCAGTGCTTGTCCAACACAGCAGCCAAGGTCCAGGAGCGCGTCCCTCGATTTTGGAAGACGAAGCCGGAAGAGGATCTGGCGGTAGCAAGCATCTGAGGTGTCAGTAAGACGGAGGAATTTCCATCTGCCAATGCACGGGAATTTCGTAACCTTCCAAGCCTCCTCTCTCTACACAACCACGCCGTATGAGGCTTGAGTTAGCAGATATTGCATGGGTAAATATTAGGGATTCATGGATGAGAGAAACAACAAACGCACAATACGGAGAAGATGCTGATCTATCTCATCTTGAGGAATGTTGCTGTAGGTATGGAGCAGAGCACGGATCGGCCCAGTGTCGTCAGGAAGTCCAGGTATAAAGGCCCAATCACGGATTTGCGTAATGTCCATGCCTTTGGGGGACAACCTGGGAGTAAGACGGGGGGGCAGGAGGCTGCGCTCCGTCGCCCATGGAAGTCCCGGAAGGGGTTGAGCCACGTCGAGCTTCACAGGCCTCTAACCCAGCGACGCGGACGTCAGGCTAGAAGAATACACGGGAGATAGATGCAAAGCGAGGTAATCAATCTCATGGCGGGCTAAGTCGGCAATAATAAAGTCGGACTGGCCTGTGGTTGCTCATTGTCAGCAAGGCCGCCTCGGGATGGCTGTAGGCAGAATGCAGGAATCGTCCCACTGCTGAAGCGCCGAAGATATCCACAAATTGCCTGATCCATCTCGCTACAACCTGGCCTGTCACATATTCATGTTATCAAGCTAATTACCTGCCCCATCTCATCCTATCATGCTGCACCCAAGGATTCGCATTGGAAGAACATTGTTTCCCTTGCATCCTACGGTCTGGATACCACGTAATCATTTTCCTTAGTCGGGCCCCAGCCGTCTTCCTCACGCCTTGTGAATATCCCTGTGCGGCCCGGCTGACTGGAGGCAATCTGCAATGAGATCCTTGGGAGCACAGATCGATACATTTCTAGGGCTGGGACATGACTTTGCATGGTACTCATGCCCTCTTCGGCTTCGATCACCTGGTTTGCTTGCTCCCATGCAGATTCCTCCCGTTCATCAGTCACGCAGCGCATTACTTGTAATCATACGGGGAGATAAACCCCCTGATGCGTGTGGTCCTAGTAACTTGACTTACGAATTTTCTCAAAGTATCATGGCTGTTAAGTTGCTGGCTCCTGGCGGCTCGCCCCCACCATGTTCCTTTGCAAAGTGTACCGAGAGTGACGAACAAAAGCTAAAGTGCCTCCTCGATCTCACCGTTCCATTCACTGTGTTAGCGCCAACCACCCATATGCAAGTTCATGGATAATCTAGGTATGAATCCCTGAAGCTTTCGGCCCACTAGCTTGAATTAGATAGCTCTTTCTCGTCAGGTGGACTCTTTGAAGATAAATTGAGCACCCACCTAAAAATTGTTGTGGCCCCTCTTTGTTGTTGTGAAAATGCGAAGACGGGACCCTGATTTTCCTATGCTAGCAGGTATGCGTCCGGTATATGAGCTTGGAGCTTGGAGCAGCTCGCAACATGGCTCCCAAGGTTCTGTGGATACCCACACTCTTGTCTAGGAGTTTAAGATGAAATAGATGAAGCATCATGTTGATTTGGGCTTGAAATTGAGTTTGCGCCTCGCACTAGGTATTATCTCCGGCGTGGACGATGTTATTCCCGAATGAAGACATGGCAATGTTTGCTCTCAGAAATGGGGTTTCTCTGAACCGGCCCTTGCTGCTCTGGAAAGTTCATTATATCAAGGTGAGTCTTAATATTCTGAACATCAATGACATCTTCGATTCCCTTTTCCTTTGCAAAAAGAGATGAGAATGTAATGTGACCAATCGCTTATATTTAAACTCAAAGGGCAAATAAGAATCAAGACCGCAATGTTCATTCACAACGTGATCTACTTCTCTTCCCACACCGCATCGCGTCCTCATGTGACTTACCTATTTCCACAAGGTAATGTATACTTGACCTTGAGCATCCTTCCGAGCTGTCCGAACTGCTAAGCAAAAGGATCATAGAGGCTCATAATTTTGCCGGCCCGAGTAGAGAACTCTGGAGATGACTGATAATATTGTCCGTCTTAATCGATATCGTGTCTACGGATACCCATCGAGGAGAACTCGACGATTGCTTCGAATGCTGTTTCTATCCGTATCACTTGAAGCTTGAAGGAGGATGTTAGAATTTGGCTGCTTAAGTAATCAGGATGGGCGCGATCAGCCGAGTATTTTCCGTGACGCCGAAAATTCTTCCACTCCGTGCTCTGGATCCTCCAGAGCACAATCGCAGCCAGTGCATTTCCACGGGGCCGAGTTCTTCCTATTCCGTTGACCGCGGCGCGTCGCATTTATCATCATCCGAAGAGAGCCTTGGTCAAGGTACGTTTAAACGTCAACACCCTCATGCTACGGCATAAGAAAACCCATGCCGTTGCGCCATTTGTGGTTGTCACGAATTGCGCTTCTGTCGCCCTTTGCATGGCCAATTTCCACTCAGCGCACAACTGACAAGATGGCTTCAGATCAGTGCAGCGCGCGCTGTTGCTCGTCGCATTTAAGACCCTGCGCTTGCGGCTGATTCTTCAATTGCTTCATGAAGCTCTGCCAATCAAAGCTGGCAGCTTCTCCTCCTCTCGCAACCTTGGCCGGCTCTCTACCCACCACCCGATTGTTACCGAAACAACATACGAATTTTTGAAAAAGCTAGAGTGTTGATCGCAATGAGCGCGGAACAAGAGGAAGCGCCGGAGACGGCCAATGAGGTCAGATATCCGTCGCCTGGCGCAGAGGCAATGGATGCTGGGCCCTTCTACCATACTGGTGGTCGCGACCAAGAACATGATCAACCAGATCATCATCAATCCGAAGAGCTCCCAGATCATGGCCAAGCGAAAGATCAGAATCACGCCGAAATGCACCACCCCGAGTCTATCGCATCCCATCAACATGCAACACGCCCCCCAAACCTGGAAGAGCTCCAGCTAGCTGCGCAATTGGGCAATGGATTGGCTGGAGCATCAATGATGCCTGCTCCCGACCCCAACCTCAGTACAGATCCTAATATGAATACGGATCCTAACATGAACGCGGATCCCAACATGAATACCGACCCGAATATGAACACAGACCCGAACATGAACACCGATCCTAGCATGAATATAGACGACCATGGGCTTCGCAACATGATGCCACCCCCCGACGAGCAGCATACACCTTCATACCTACAAGATACCCCAACCTCGGACTCCATGGTACCCCATGGTATGGTCATTGGGCCCACCCTACCGCCGCATTACGGGCTGGGAGATGGCGTTCCGCCTAGAAAACGATCGAAAGTCTCTCGGGCGTGCGACGAGTGCCGTCGAAAGAAGATTAAGTGTGATGCCCAATCGGATAATGGAGAGACACCGTGTTCAAGCTGTGCGCGTTCGTCGACTAGATGTTTGTTTAGTAGGGTGCCTCAAAAGCGTGGCCCCTCTAAAGGGTAAGTGCAACATCTTCAAGAATATACAAAACAGGGTAACTGATCAGTGTGTATGCGCCGGGCAGATACATAAAGGAACTTGCGGACAGGATCCACAGCATCGAGAACAAGCTTGAGTCTGAAGGGGGACTTACCCATGAAGATCTCAGCGGTCTTTTTAGCACCGATCGACCCCGAAACCTCAATGTTGGCCCCGACTCAAATAAGAAACGGCCTTATTCTGGCATATCTGGGGCTGATTTTGACTCACCTTCCTCCGGTCGACAGGCCCCTTGGGGAGCAGAGTCCAGGCCGATACAACCTCCACCCATCCCTTCCGAGAACAATGTTGCCCTGCATTATAGCGCCGAATCACTTGCTCCCCAGTCCTCAGCCATTCAAGGCGACCTTTCTTCCAAGCAGTCTGAGCCTCCACTTGACATACCCATACCGGAAGTTGAAGTCCCTGAACTTACAGATGGGATGCTGCAAGAGTGAGTCCCCCCATGTCAAACGCTATCACCAATTGATTCTAAACCATATCACAGCTATCTTGCGACAGTACAGTCATTGTATCCTATTCTTCCAAGTAGTAAACAGCGTCTCGATCAGTTGTTAGAAGCGTGTCCTTCTTTAATCAGAACAGCATTTGTACACGCCCTTTTGGCCGTTGTTCAGTCATCATCGGGTATGGTCAAGCTTGCAAGTTCATTACTCAATGAATGGGAGACTGGCGATGCCCCCCGAACAGCAGCAATCAACATTGTTCACGCTCAAACCATCCTTCTCTTGGTCATTGACGCGGACTGGCGATGTTCCCCGACCATCTCATCGCTGTTAGCTCGTGCCGTGGCGCTGGCTAATAGCATGGGCCTCTGGCGTCACCCAAACATGGAGCTGGCTTCCGAAGTCGACTCGGACGACAATCTTTCTGTGCGTATTTGGTGGTCTCTTGTCATTATGGACCGTTGGCACGCAGTGGGGACTGGCCATCCGGTCTTAATAACCATGCGCAGTGTGGTGCCACCCGCAGGGCTAGATACAGTGCTGAGCGACGTGTCTTTTTACCTCTCGCGTAAGAGTGCTCTTCATCTTCATTCACCATTTTCTTTCTCTGACAATGTAATTCACAGGGCTTTCAAGGGTGCTGAACCGAGTATCGGAGGTGATTGTATCACTCGGACCCACCTCGCCGACGACGGAGTCAATGAATGCCGGAGCTCTGACAGATTTGGTTGAAGTCTTCCGTGAGGACTTGCCAGCCCGAATCGAGCCCGCATCACATCCACTGATACACCTGTCCTACTGGCACTGCCGGCTTTTGATTATACTGTTGACGCCGGGAGCAACGGCGTCGGAGCTTATCTGGCCGCTGAGGGAACTGGTTGACCTCCTGACGAGGAATTCAGATTTGCGTAGCCCGTTGGCCAACCATTACACCTCTCTCATCATTTTTGCCTCAGCAAAGCTTATCAATATTGATTCTTGCAGGGAGGAAGCAAGCCAGCTCAGTAGAGAGATTCTGGAGAAGCAAGGAGGAGTGTGGGACGTGGTACGAGACAAGATCTCGGACCAGGTGCGGCTCGCGACACTGGGGGACGCGGCCGGGCTCCAGCGATTGGCCGATCTCGCCACATCTAATCAAAGCGTGGCCACGGGGTCGGAAGGCCTGGGAGTCGGGTCCTCGCTCTCGCAAGGGTACTTGCAACTTTCCTAGAACATGTATTATGAATAATCCCAGCGGTGAGTGTAAGATGTACGATTATGAGCAGCCTAGACAGAAAAATCTCAGCGATGGCGGACTTGTTTGGCAAATACGCCTGGCGAGGCGCGGATGATATGATCGAACACTTGAACGGATCCGTGGTGTCGTAGGCTATGATTGCTCCATGCGGCAACACCCCGAGTACCATAACCCAAACAAACCCACAGACTCCCGCTACCTTACCCACCTGCTACCGTCCGAAGGTCAGAGCTCACCATGTCGGATTAGCGAGCCCTCTCTAGAGCTCATTCGGGCAGGGCTACCGGGAGAGAGGAGTACGTACGTACTATGTCGATTTCACCCATGCAAGTACCCATCACTCGGTCGCGAGACAGATGCATTAGCGATGAAGCACCGGCATTACAAGTGGCGGCAAGCTTCAGTCGTCCGGTCGCTAACCCCCACTCTCCCAGGGCCTTAGTGAGTCGTGACGATGGCCTCCTCCTCCTCCCCCCGGTCCGGTCAGGGCTGGCGAACGGAACCCCCAATGCAGCCTAGGGGTGACAGGAGTCAGGGACCATCGCTATTACTGCAAGCCGTGGTAGGCAATATTAGTCGTCGTACCTAAAATATGGCTGGCAGCAGCCGGGGACGGATTCGCAGAATGTCGTAATAGCTCTCTGATATAGCAACACCCGGGCAGCATAGCTACACACGCATTCCCACGTTGCCAGCGAGCCGCGATCGGCCAAGTTAGCACGCGTCGCAACCGATGTAATTGGGTCCAAGGCCAAAGAAAGAGAAAAAGCAAAATACATTGCCACATGAGTCGCTGAATAATCGCCCATGGAGGTTGAAACTGGGGAAGCAAAACAACGGCGTGCGACTAGCTCATTGCGAAAGAGAGCCTCGCCGTGGCTGATTTGCTGCTTCAATGGCCCTTTCGTTTTTCTTTTTTTGTTGGGGCAGTTAGAAAGGGGGGGCCCTTCGGTCACTTGGCCGATGGGCACAGCTGGGGACCGAAAGGGCGCCCCTCCCTCACTCTCCATTCTTGCCTCTGGATCACGGAGGATGGTGACTATCGCGAGCATCTACGCCGCATACCCATGGGCCTGGCTGGCTGTGGTGTCCATCTGACTTCACTGCCATGGGGGAGAAATCTTGCTGTACGAAGATGGAAATGGACGGACAAGGGGGGAGCTCGAGCGCGACCGGGGGGCGGTTGGAAGGCTGGGGAGTGGCGCCAAGGTAGCGACGATAATCCAGGGGGGGGGAGAAGGAGACCATGCCAGCCAACCGCGCCGCTCGTCTGTGCAGCTTCACTTCCCGCTTCCGTTTTCCTCCATCTCGGGGGCCTCTCCCCATAATTCATCTCCGACGACAGCAAAGCCGCCGCTGGCGCCGCTTGGGGAATGTCGCGCGTCGGGGTTCGTGGGGCTGTGGGGGTTGCAGGGCTAAGGCCCTCGCTCTCATCCAGTTCACCAGCCCCCTGATCCTTGTTGAAACTCGCACGAGTAAGGCCGTCCGTGGTCCGGGCCACGCTTGCTGGCGTTACATTGACAACGCAAGGGCAGCTGGGGCATGCTTTCGTCAGTGTGCCTCGTCGCCTTTGGCTTCGTTGGCTGCCGAGCATGGAGTCGCAATGGCGCAGGCCGGGGCTACGTATGAGCTAAACCACTGAGCGTGATGTGAAACATCAGATCCCAATGTAGAGCAGATTGGTCAAGTCACGACGGCGCGGGGCTGAGCTAGGTCGGTAGTGAGTATGCTTGTTCATCGGTCTATTCAGATGAACCGGCAGACATTGGGCGTGCCCAGTCTGACCAGAAACGTATAATCTACCAAGTAAGATATCTCGTAATTTGAAGCTGGTATTGTTGTCATCGGCGTGTGAGGGAAAACAAGTAAAAATAATAAACAAGCCGCCTCTTCACGTTTTCCGACTGACTATATCTGTATGTAGAGCGTTCATATGTCGTCAAATTTCCAAGAGTCAATGTCTTTCCTAGACAATCCAGAAGGATGTCAACGATCCTTCATCCTCCTCCAAAGGTCGTTAAATATTCCGCGAAATAACAGTCGATTGCTTTTTTGAATTTGCCAATTCCAAATCAAGTTCCTGAACACCATTTCATAATCCGGTCCCCAGCCCCCCCACCCCACAATCAGGAAATGCAAAAGTAGCCGCGCCTTGTATATAAAAAAAAGTCTATCCAAGAGAAAAAGAGACACCATCACGCGTGTTGAACATGATTCAATGTCAATCCAAAAAGCTCGGAGTGCATGTTGGTGTATGTTGTGCCACCAATTTCGTGACGATCGCCACGTGGCTATGTAGAAGAAGAGACGTTAAGTCGTTCGAGATCAGGTGAGTTCCATCTCTCGAGTGAGCCCGATTGGGAGATGTAAGCCATGGGAAATCGGGTTCATGAAGCTCATCTAGAGCTTGGATTTGTTTATAATTCCCAAAAGTTGCCCATGGTGTTTGGGCCGAGGGGATCAGGGCTCTCGTCGACAATGCCGTCAATGCCCTCGTGGTAGTTGGGCATCCAAAAGGCGGGATCCTCCTCAACCATGGACATGCTAGCGCCGGGCATAGCGCCGTGCTCGTTGTTCTTGTAGAAGCTGTCGTAGTCGATGCTGCTGATATCGGCCTGGTTGCCCATCATGTTACCGTGGCGAAGATAGCCAGCGTTGTTGAAGTCGCCGCCATCAGGCCCAGACATGAAGTCCTCCACCTCGGAGACGTCGCCTGAGGTAGATGTTGTGTTGACCAGGTTGGGCAGTTGCTCGGAGCCGCTGCCAAATTCGAATGCGCCGAAGCTCTGAGTGCCCGCTTGGCTATAGCTCGACGGAGCAAAGTTGTCACGCTTGGTGTCACCGAGGTCATAATGACTCCAGTCGACAGAAGCAGCACTGAGTCCTGCGCTGTACATGGGCCCGTCTTGATCGGGAGAGAAACCAGCCCCAAAGAGGTCAAAGGAGCTATTCGGGATGTAAGGAGGATACTCGATGGCGGAAAGGTCCAAGGGAGGGACTGTGCCATTCATCTGGGCAAACGTCGACATTTGGGGAGAAGCTGCTTCTGACTTGACACGGCGTTGAGAGCCACCAGCCCGACGGGCGTCGGCAATGCTGTCGGAGCCAGCACCTAAGCTGCTTGTACTGTTGGCAGAGTTGACCCGGTTGAGCGAGTAAGGCCCGACCTTTTGAGAGGCACGGTGGTGCTTGGCAGTTGGCTTGTGGTGGCCGTTCTGATCAAACATCATCATGTCCGACGAGTGTATAGTGTTCGCTCGACGACGCCGAGGCACGGGTTTGGCTCGGGACATGCTGGCCTTGTGAGCCTCGCCCTCGGAATCCGATTCGGGAACGGTGTCGAGTGTAGCGGGCATCTCCTTCTTCTGAGCACAGGAGCAGAGGCCGCCATGATTACAGCAGCAGGTTTCTATTGTGACAGCTTGTTTAGAATACATGTTCACGGAGAACGTATCCGTTTAAAACGTAGCAATGATCGCTTACCGGTGTGGCCCTCAACCGTTGGTTGGAGGTGTGCACATTTGCTCGTCTTCTCGCCGCAATCGCACTTGACGTGAGATGCCCGAGATTTCCGCATCGCACGGCAATGCGAGCATTGCGAAACTGGCCGTCCCTTCTTGTTGATGTGCTGAAGAGGCCGATCTGGAGTGGGTTAGTGATCCCATTCGCACGCCCAATGTAAGCTGTTGGGGCCGGGGCGAGACATTCCAAGGACGACGAGCGGGGTGCTGGTGAAACCTCTCGCTGTCGCCTCGCACGCCCGAGGCCCTGGTGAGACTTGCGGGTTTGGCTACATACCTGAGTGTTGGCAATTGCTCACACGATGCCCGCGAACGCAGGCCTCGCAAGCCCATTTCTCTCCGTCAATTATCATTGTGAATTGAGTAACGCGAAAGCGGCAGGGATGGCGATGGAAGTGAGAGTGAAGCTGTGGATGAGTTGCGGCTGGAGGTTCAAGCAGCGACGACCGATGAAGAGGACCAAAAAATCGTTGTCGGTTTGCAGGTTCTAAGTGGCCAGAGTCTAATTGTGTGCTGGAAAAATCCGGTTGCAATTAGAGCTGGGAACTAATACCAGTGGTTGGACAATCCCGCGTCAATCTGGCAGTCGCTGGTGTCTCCGTCTGGATTCCGGGCAGATTAAGAGCCAAGGCCGGGGCGTCCTTATTCTGCTTCAAGCGATAGCGGCTGAGTCGCTGTTCAATCGAACCGGCGTGGGTGGTGCTAGCGGAGCGTAGTAGCTGGAGGCGTGGCCTTGGCTTGCTGCTGCAGGTGGCGGCAGTGTTGGTGGGTAAGATCCACGGGGGCTACTTCTGGGTGCTGGGTGGTACTTAGTGTAGGTAGTACCTGCTAGGATGCTTCCCCCCACCTGGAAAGCAAGGTCGTGTTCAGGGCTGATCGAGACTTGCCACCAGGTACGGCGTGGTGTGTCGGCTGCGAAGACTGGCGCTGTGGCTTCGGGAAAAGGAGGAAAGAAGCAGGATTGGGAGACGGAACAATTGATGTCGCAGAACAACCAGATTCTGTCTTGTCAATGATTGAAACCGCTGTTCAAAGCGATTTCCGAGAACGCAAGAGGTGAGTGGAGATTTTCTGAAAGTGGAGAACGTTGGGGTTTTCCCAGCTCCGTCAGTGTGCTACGAGCTGCTCGGCGTCTGGCCAATGGGTTCCCGGAAAAACCGGTATTTGCTGGCGCCGAATAGGCAAGGAAAAAATTCTTGAGTCGAGAGGCCGGGAAATGTCCGGACTTGGTAAGTAGCGGTTTCGCGTTGGCGGATAGCTGATCGACAGCTACAGCGGAAGCAATGCCGTAAGATGCCCAAGTATGGTGATGCTGTTGTAGGAGGTCGCAACTCAAGTGAATGAGTAGCAAGCAGGGTGAAAGCTCAGTCTCTCTTTACTCGGCCGGGCGGTAATAACAAGCGAATCCAGGGAGCCTTGGTATAGCCCATTTAACATGCGTCGGGTTTCGAATCAAGGTGGTCGCTGCGGATTGCGATGCCAATGCCGTGTTCTGGACAGAGTCCTGCTGGCCCTCCCTCTCTTTCTATGTCGCTTTGGATGTTGGTCTCGGTAGGTACCTGTCGGTAGCACAGGACCTTGGTAGAATGAGAAGGGAAGATCAGGAAGAAAGTAAGAAGGAGAAAGGAAGAGAGCTACGAGTCCGGGAAACGGAGGGCCGCAAGTGGGATTCGCTTGTCTTTAATTTGGACGAGCATATGACAGAGAGTGTGCTGCGAGGCTCGCCCAGTGGCCAGGCCCCAAGTATTGCCTAGACGAGTAAGGTATGGATGTTGATGTCTGCTGCTTGGGGTGGGAGTGGGAGTGTGCAAGGCATGAACCCAGCCAGGGCGGTCCAGGTATAGAACTACAGCAATACAGCACACCAGAGCTGTGCAGACAGTGCCACCACGACGTACCCGCCCGTACCATGCTGGGGGCAGGGGTAGTTCAAGTCGAAGGGTGGTGGGCTCGGCTGCGAATGACGACGTGTGGGATCGTCCCAAGAGGGGATGGCGCTGCAGGGTTCAATGCTGGGCCTGAGAGGTGGACCGTCCCAGTGTGGGATGCATCCAGCAGCCAGCATCATCCAGCATGGGCTTGGGGACTTGTTTGTGCATAAGGGGTCGATGACCTGGTTGGATGCGCCCCATTAAAGAAACGGTGCAGTTACACGGGAGTACATCTCGCCCTCAGTCCGATACGTGGGACTGGCCGGTCGTCCGTGGTGCGTGGGTGAGGCGCCAGAGTGTGTGTGAGCGCGTGCGTGTGATGGGAAGTGTGGGAGGGCTTCGGACCGCCGTTCTGGGATGGGCGGGCTTGGTACTCGGTGACCATTCAATATGACATATTGATAGCAACGTCAAATGTCTTTGACTACCGGCGACAATCATTGCCGCCTGCAGAAGAAGCCAATGGGTTACTGCTCGCAGTAGGCGCACCCCAATACGGCAGAGAGCAACACCTGTACACGTCTGCTCGGATTTCTGTTATTCTTTTTTGAAAGTCATGCCTCTGAAATTAATAATAATACCAGAATGAAAGGGACCCAGTGGGCAGGCAGTAGCCGTGAGGCGATGGGTGAGCTTGTGCATGTCTGGAAAGGCTGCATGCTTGTTTTAGCACAAGCATCGGCGTATCAGCCTACTGGGTGTAGCGCTGTGTTATTGGCACAGGCAATATCTTCAGCGGCTACCCAGAATGGCTGCGGCACCGGCGGCCAAAAACAAGAGAGCAACGTTTCTTCAGCCGGACCACCCATGCTGTTCCAAATCGAGCACTGCCAATTCTTGGTATCCTGATTATACATAGCATGTCTTACCTTTGTCCGCGCCGCTGGCTCCGGCACTCTGACCTCTCTCGTGTCAGATCTTAGAGACTGCGAACAGCTGCGAGCCTGCGTCCAACTAGCACCTGCTCCCTAGCGAAGCCATCCAGATACGGACTGGAGTGGCTAAGCCGCGTGCTAACTGCGAGTCCAGATTGGAAAATAGCCAAACAGCCATCTCTCGGGCTAGCTTGCCAACTTGGCAAGGTAACTCCCCGCACCCCAGCTATGGGGAGGTACATTGATCTGCTCCACCTTGACACCCGTCCCTAAACAGCCGGCCTCCTCGCTATGAACCTGGGCTGACCCCTCCACCGAAGGTAAGGTAAGGAAGGTCCCTGGATGTGAGAAGTCACGACCTTTCACAAGGCAGGCAGCACCGAGCACCAAGCGCTAGGCCGGTTCACATGAGGATGATCAGCCCGAGCATCGCCTGGTCCTCGTATCTGGCCTGAGGGACGGCATGTGTCATGTCAATGGGAGATCATAACGACACACATGCGGCTGGGAGAGCGAGTCGACTTTGCCTACCTTGGCTTGGCAACCTACCGACCTACCTGTCTATTGCAATGGTGGACAGCGGCACGCCACTAGCCGATGGCGACAGACCTGGTCCGACATCCAGCCGTCTTCAATTCGCATCGAGAGGCGGCACAAGGCTTGCCTCTTTCGGCTCCCCGTCTGATTTGCCATCCATTTCTGCACGGCTATCACTGGAAGATCCCGACGGCTGAGCGAGCCTTCGATGCCCTTAATTTAAGCTCTAAATTTATCCTTCCTTGCTACTGTCCCCCATTCTTTTCCGTGCTGAGACGCCGCCGTTCTGCTTCATCTGGATCTTTCCCCATCCTGGCACGAAAGCAATAAACTCGGGAATCTGAGGAATCCCTGGAGGATCTCTTCGCATGCAATCGAGTGCTGGGTCGGACACAGTATCAAACGGATATTCTCATGTGAGCATGTGTCGGGACAGATTCGTTAGCAGGTCGGGATTTGGGCCATTTTGTGACCAGTCAGGTAGCCTAGCTGGCTTACACCCCCCCCAGCAGCCAGACAAGGGGTGCTCGAGGCCAGGTGCAACTGTGCCATACGTGCTAACCTGTTGCTCTCGTTCACTGGACGTGGGTGGTATTACCCAGGGTGCAAAGTACCCTATTGTGTGCATTCAGGCGTCGCTGCGATAGGAGCGAGCCGCCGATGCAAGACAGCCTGGAGCCAAGGCCGCCTGGCCTGTTTAGGACAGTAGAAAGTCTGAAGACATCATTGTGCTTGAAGCTCTGTCCACGCGCACAGCTGCTGGGCGACTTTGGCGCTTACGCTATGTGGTCCATGGGGGAAGCAGCTACGTATCGTCGTGACCAGATGAATTACCTGAGGATGATCCCGCCCGATCATTAGCAGAGGTGGAACCTGGACACGAGATGAGATACACCCCTTCCAGAGATACCTCCAGAACGAGGAGCAGACGGAGGAGGCGCCACAGCCTGCCCAAGCGGCCAAGGAACCAACAGGAGCGCAGGTATGTATGGCAGCAGGTCTCTGAAAAGGGTTGTCAGAGCATGTAATCACCTTGCTGATTTGCCCGATTTACGAGGGACGACGCTGCAGGAGACCTGCTTTGCACGATCATAGTTTAACCGGAAATGTACAGCTCACAGTCCCCTACGTGCTGTATCTCGGGCCGGTGCGCTGTTGGTGCATAAAAAATCGGAGAGCCCCGGAGGAGCTCCAAGGCATCCATTTAGCCACCACAAATCATAGGTAAGCAGCCAACCCGGTTGAAAAAAGGATGGGACACTAAACCACTGCTGGAGTACACTCTCACCCTTACCCCAAGCTTTCATACTCAGATTATCAGCCAAGCACAGGTTTTCTAAGCTCAAAAAAAAATGTGTAAGAAATCCCTCAAGGTTGGAAGTTGCCTATAGATCTTTTTTTACAAAAAGTATTATAATTTTGCTGTATCTAGTGGCCAGAAAGGAGCCTGATAAATTTGGTATCTCATCCTTTTTTCAACCGGGTTGGCAGCCTCGGGGGTCAATGCAAATCTATTTGCCGTGTGACCTCCCATCCAGGGTGGACTGTGGTCCGCTCTACCTAGCTGAAACCGCGCTGTATTGGCCGATCGTGGAGACCCGCTGCCGTGATGGAGTTGCCAGCCAGTTATTGGATCGAGGAGCGTGGGAGGAAAAGAAAATATGGACCATTGTCACTTTCCCATCCATCGCATTCGTGCACAACACGAGTATAGCGGCGCGTCTGGGCATGCTTGGCGCTGCCGCAGGGGTCTTTAACCTGACCTTGGAAGGTAAGTAACAATCAAAACGGCCAGTGGAGATCGTGAAAGCAGTGAGGCTTTCCGTCCTGTATGCGCACCGTTCGTTCCATCTAGTCCAGGTCCATCCTTTGCCGAACACCAGGGCCAGGACTCATCGAATCGCAATCCCAGAATGCGACGTCAGCGACGGTGAGGATCTTGAAACCCCGACCAACTGCAGCGATAGACCTTGCCCTAGATTACCTTCCCGATGGACCTTCTCTAGCCATCCGAGGCTCCAGCGAGGCTCCAGCGAGGCGCATTGGACCGAGAGCCTCACTGGCCACCCCCGAAGACACGTAGAAAGCTCGGTGAATCTCGCGGCGCTGCTGGCCAAACTGACCGACCTGCATCCTGCTGAGCTCCTAATTTTAATGATGCGAGTTGGGGGACAAGCAGAGGGTGGGGAGGGTGTCCAGCCTCTTGGGCGTGCCTCTGGCAGAGTCTTGTCCAATAAGGCCCTGGCCCGATCGCGGAAAGACGTCTGATTCGCTGCCGTACCCGTAATGACGGCATGCCACATCACGCCAAACATCCAATCACTAGCGCATAGCCGAGTGCACGGGCCAAACTTGTTTGAACCGCCGTACGGCCGAGTTGGGAAGCTCACGAATGCCTACCTCCCCTCCAGCACCCGGCCTTGGGTGGGCGGGCTGAGTGTGTTGGTGGACTCGGGCCCCGCCTCCCTTCCTGCTCCCACAAGAACGAACGAGCAGAGGAGAAGCAAAACCCACCGGGATGCAACCAGAAGAAGTATAATCCATCCCAAGCCAGGTGCTCGGCAACCCAGCAATTAGGGCTCGAAGGATTCTAGGCTAAGGGTAGTTAAAACGGAGCCGACCGGCCGATAACGATAACGTCGGAGCAACGCCGATATCCCTGTCCGTTTCGCCCCACACGCTCTACGTACCGTCGGACGTTCTTGAGTCCCTCGGAGAAGCAAGGTTCCAAGCCGTCTGGACGTGGGCGTTTCAATCTGATTACGTACTACTGTGTGCTACCCATTCGAGAGTCGCCAAACCACTTTCTTGTTTTCCTGCTAAGGGCGCCAAGTCATTACCCAAATACAATATTCATTTCGCACGGGGGACGGGAGAGTTCCCACTCGCGAACGATTGGATGGGCTTTACCCTCCGTCGCTCCAGGCTTGTCCTTCACTTGAAGATTGACTCCGTTCAGCCGCAGGCGCAGCAGAGAGTGAGAGCACCTTGGCCGGCAAATCGTCACCCGGTTGTCCCAGTAGCCTAGCGATTAGCTATATCATCTGCATTGGCCAGTAAAGTCTGCGAGAGCTGGGCGGTTACGAATAAGGAACGGGTTGTTGGGGTGTGGGCCGGCCTATGGTTGCATTCCTCGATGCTCTCCCAGTAGTCGTCTATTGTGTATGTGTGTCAATATGCAGACAGGCAGGTAACTGGAGCGGCCGGATAGCAGACATGCATATGGTGTATTTTTACAACATGGGGGCGATTTCCTTGGGCACGTACATGCCGTGTAGCACTGGTGGTGCCATGGGGACCCCCCCTTTTCATGGAACAATGCTGCCTTGTGAGGAGAGATTCTTGCCCTTTAGCTGCTGGATTCGGACAACGTCCGTTTTCCGAGGCTTCCCCGGCCTCATGATGCACGCAGGGACGGAATATTATGATGTGTTAGAAATCCCCATACGAAGCAGATTGTAAGTATCCAAAACCGATGTGACTCTACCGACGCTGCTTTGGTTAAGATCACGATGGGGTGCTTGATGCGTGACCCCTAGGCTTCGACTGGAACTTCTAGAAGTCTCACACTCACAATGGGGATGGACCCTGGCTCCACTCAGCAGGGGTATTGTATTGTAGTGTTGCAAACAGCTGCATCGAGGTTTGACTCGGAGCAGGCACCCGAGGAGCATCACTACGTACACAGCATTCAAATATTATGTGTTGGCTATAAGATCAGCTCCATGATGCAGGTCGCTCAGCTTGTCCATGTATCTGGACATACGATTCTGCCTGCCAGAGCGTTTCACGCCTGTGGGAGTGGTCATGCACGCAAGCCCGTTGGGCAATCGGCGTCTGCCAATTGCCGGTGGGCTGAAGGTCACCATCAGCATATATGATGTGTTGTCACACATGTCTAGAACTTGGGGGAAGTGAATGCCAAGCTGCACTGCATTCGAGGTTGTGAATGCTCGCCATCCAGCATCAGGGGGGATGGCGAGTTGTACATACAATAGTTGTTCCATTCCATGGCTGGTGCTGCATCACCGTATGCAATAGGCGCGTTATGCAGGTGGTTATGCTGGGCCGCCCCTTCTCTTGGATCTTCCCTGCAGCAAGGGTACGGATTGATAGGCTTCGTGATGGTGGGAGGGGTCGCTTGGGTGATTTGGCCTGCGTCAGGACACATGCGACCGACCAAGCAGCCATCTCGAGCATTGCTCTAGTTGTGGGTAGGGTGGTGGGTAGTGGGGTTCTCCGCCTCCAGCGCCGGCGGCAAAGGATCGGCTAACACCCATAGCACTACGGGAAGTACGGAGTGCCCAATGCAGCAAAGAGGTACGATAGTATTAGCAGTGGAGGATAGGTAATGTAAAAATAATAATGCCCACGCCCCGTCCGTCGACGGTGGACGAGAGCCAATGCAGCTCGGAATCTGCAAGGCAGCGTAATTTCGTCCAAACAAATCTTATGGTGCTTGCTCTCATTAGAAGTAGTCTGGTGCTATTCCGAGTTAAGTCCGCCGTCCCCTTGGCTGTGCAGCCAGAGAATCTAGGAGATGAGTCTCCAGCCAGGAGTCTAAGATGGGTTCAACCAAGCGAAGGGTGCTAGTCATGAAGTACCTTGATGAAGTCATCCGGATTGTACTTCTACATGTCTTGGCTTGCCATGTGGTGGGCAAGATGGCATATGCCCAAGTACCGAGCCCTGGGTGAACATTACACCGCTGAAGCACACCACCCACCCAAACCAATAGGGCGATCAGACTAGTGGAAACAGGAGGAAAAAATTTCACCCAGGTGATGGAGGGAGACCCCCACTTGGCTGACTACGTCGAATCTTGTGAGATCAATCCAAATTCCTTCCCCATTTCCACCTTCTAGCCACCTCCCACACACACTTCTTTCTGTGTCGTGGGCTAACGTCCCCGGGTTTCTCCTCGTCGGAACGCCTTGAATCATTCATTCGCTCCTTCATTCGTTCCCTAGCCAAGCTATCCCCTTTCCTGGCTCTCTTCGGTGCTTCCGAAGTCGGTTGCAGTTCGCGTTATGCAAATTTTCTCTCTTCCAACTGGCTGCGCTGGACCACGGGATCAAAATTCGCCTTCGCCCGTCGATACAAACGTGCCTCATTCGGCCGTCTATCACCCGTGGGGGTTCCTGTTTCCCCCTCTGATCGCTAAACTGAATACTATGATTTCGATGCGACCATCCAAGCTAATATCCTAGCCTTTCGCTGACTATGCTGACTTGAGAGAGGCAATCCTTTGGGTGCAGCCGCAACCTCAGATCAGATGTTTGCAGATTTTTCAGCCAGCCATTGTGCAACTCTACCCTCTACCTTCCCATGCAGATGCAGAACCGGATGGTTTCACCCTCGGATCGCCCGGACTGGCGAGCTTCAAACCCGTCGACGTGCATCGGAATGGTGTGTGTTGCCATCATCAATGCAAACAATAATATCTCTGAAGTCGCCGGGCTCCGGGGCTTGCCACACCGGGCTCGCAGGCGGTATGGGAACACATGGGGGGCAGACACCGGGCTTGATTTGCTAAGATCTTCCGGCCACAGATGCACGTACATCTGTACCTGGATGAGGTCGATTTCGTAGATTATCTTTTACTGAAAACATTTGCCAGAATGTACTTTGGTATTCATACCATCGTATATCGACGTTCATTGTCATCTTCCCTTGGACATGAACGTTTTCGCACTGGCATAGAGCAAACCAAACCTCGTTGCTGGGCACCCGGCTTTGAGATGTCGTCTTGACTGTCTTGGAGAAGCCGGGAATCAGCTGTAGGCACATTTCCCCCGTAGAAAAAAAAAAAAAAAAAAAAAAAAGAAAAACCCCCGGCCCGAATTCGTGAAGCGGAGTAGACGATCTGCCATGAGACGCAAGTGGACGCTATCGAGGGTTGCATCAAGTTCCATGCCCATGCCCGTAACTTTGCAGCACCACTTTCCGCTGTGTCGTATTGCCACAATGCATAAGGGCGTAGCGATCTGGGATATAAGCAATTGGGTTTTTGGGTTACCCGCATATGGAACTTACAGGTTTGACCCATTCCGTACACCCCCAGGAAGAGGGTGGCTGACCTCCGCCCTGGGATTCGGCGGGTGAAGCTGTTTGGAGGTTGCGAGCTTGGGGGCTGGCAGGACTGGATTGTCATGATGCAGACCTCGCCGATCCGCTGGCCCGGCCTCTGATACATGGCTCCGGGACTCGTCACATCTCTGTTTTGCAAATGGTCATGCTACAACATGCACAATATGCCGATTTCCGAGGTTACGACCCCGGTGGCTCGAAATGCCATCGGCTGGGTGCGGAGAGCCAGCACATTGCCCCCAGCTTGCCCATAATGTAGCCAAATGCATGTATGCGTGCGTCTGTACATCGGTAAATGCGGTGGTGGTACAGCACGTAGGCAGATGCCGGGGGTGGAGTGCGGGGTGGATTGTGGCTCTAGCCGAGCATCTTCGAAGGATTCCGTGACGAACCGTTAGCCGCCCAATTCAATCGCAAGCCCAACAACCCCCCACTGGCGAAGTAGTGCAGCTGCTCCGTGGATCATTCGAATCGAATACCAACTGGCCAGCTGCGGCTTTGCAAGGTCAAGGTTGGGACTTTGTTAGGCAGACATTGCACAACCTATCAGCACGCGAAGATGGCCAACGCGAGGTTTGTTTCCCAGCTCCCCCATGTGTGCCCACGTGTTCGCCGGAGGATGTGTGCTGATGGTGTACACAGCACGGTTAATATTGTTTTCGTTGGCGCAGGCGCCATAGGCTGCTTCTACGCCTCGAGGTTGCACCATGTATGTCAGCCCTCATTGTGACAAGTCCCAAACTCCCCCGTCATCTGAGCATTATGGCTGACGTAGTGTGTCGTGCAACGACAGCCGTCTCGGGGCCTGCACGTGTCTCTTATTGCCAGGTCCAACTACAAGGCTATTGAGCAGTCTGGCGTGCAACTGATCACCCGGAGCTTTGGGGACTATACGTTCAACCCCTCGGGCGTGTTCCCGTCGGTGAGCGCGGCCGCGCAAGCCGATGGCGATGGAGCTCCGGCGAGGCAATGGGACTATATCTTTGTGACCAC